TGTTTCTTCCTTGTCATGTCTCTGGTATGTCTTGGCTCAGCTACTTCCTGTTTTTCTGGCTCTGTGTCTGATTCTGATTGTGATGAGTGGTCTGATTTCTTTTGAGGCCTTTCTTCTGATTTCCTCTCCTTTCTTTCTCCCAGTTTTGTTGGTTTCTTCTAATTTTTTCCCATAAAATCTTGCGCTTTCATCAGTGAAGTTATATTGTATCTCTGTGTATCAATTCGAAAAAATAAACCTTCCGGTGTCAGCCATCTATATGAAATTCCATTTTGTTGAAGTAAAGATGTAAGGGAGGAGTGTTGCTTCCTTCTCTGCCTCATTTGCCTCCTCAGGGCAAGTTCGGACCAAGTCCTGCTGCTGCTGATTCCAGCCTCCTTGGGCCACGTTCTGCCTCAGTGGCAGGGATATAACCTGAATGTCAACGTGGAAGGGACCTACTCAACCTGAGAGCCCAAAAATGCCTCATTGGCAGGGGCGTACTCAACCCATGCTCCCCAAATGCGAACATGGGAAGGGTGTACCCAACCTGGGTGCCCCAAATGCCAATGTGGCAGCGACGAGCTCTTTCTGGGAGCCCAAAACACCACATTTTAAATATTTAATTATTTGGAGGCTTGTATTCAAATCTCGCCTTGATGGCAAACACCTCCCTTTCTCTCATCCATGTATATCTCCATCTTGAACGAGAGGAAAGGAGCAAACACAAGCAATAAGAAAACTAAGTACAGTGGTGCCTTGCTTTATGACTGCCCTGTTTAACAATGAAACCGCATTACAATGAACTTTTTGCGGTCGCAAAATGATGTTTCCTATGGGGGAATTTCGCTTTGTGATGATTGGTTCAAAATGGCCACCAAGTAAACAAAATGGCCCCCCGCTGTTTTCTGGGATGGATTCCTCGCTGCACAGGCAGCGAAAATGGCCGCCGTATGGATGATCTTCGCTGGACGGTGAGTTTACAGCCCTTTGGAATGCATTAAATGGGTTTTAATGTGCTTCAATGTTTTTTTCTTTTCGCATTACAACGTTAAACTTCTCTTTAGAGGCTGAATGCGTTTCAATGGTTTTTTTCTTTTCACATTACAACGTTTTCGTTCTACAGCGATTTCGCTGGAACGAATTAATGTCATAATGTGAGGCACCACTATAATGTTGATTTTAAGGATTATAGCATAAGAGTCTATAAATAAGCATGACAAAAGGTTTTAAAAGTTTTAGTGCCTACATATACTTTTGGAAGTATATCTGCCAATTCTGTCAGTCCCCTATAAAGATTTAAGCTGGAACTCCTTTAACATTCTGTAAACATTAAAGGTATATAAAAAAGCCAAAAGCACACTAACAGCCTGGAAAAAAGTGGTACCGTGTTTTGGAAGGGAGGGATAGGCACAAAAATCAATACGTAATGTACAGTATTGCCTCCTTGCTTACATTTCATGCAGAATGAGCTTGGTTCAAGTCCCATCCTCTCCCAACCATCTCTGAGGCCAGTTCATACAGCCAGTGAACTCGGTGAAGGAGCAGTCCTACTGTTTGCTCATTGCCCCAGTCCCAACACCCTTTGATAGAAGGGGAAACTTCTCTTTAGAGGCTTTATAGATAAGGACTGCAAGGTCACCAAGTGCTGATTGAAGCCTCACTGAGTTGTGGCGTATCTCCAAATCTCTCCAAGTATGGAGCCAGTCCTCAGAGTGAGTCGTGTGGGAGGAGGAAAACATTTTTATTTTATTGTGTGAGGGCTTTTTATAGATGGGAACTTATAACTCAAAGCAAAGGTGTCTGAATATATGGTTTACACATAGTATTTGTTTAGGAGGTAGTGCAGGAAATTCACATTTGTCTGTCTTACCCTCTTATGCGTGTAATGTATTATTTTGCAAATTTGCTCAATGGCTTACTTCCTGTGACATGATCTGGTCTTGAGGTTAGGCAACAGAAGCTGCTTACCTGACAGCTCAGTTGTAAACAGCAAGGTCCCTGATCATTTGGATAGAATCTGAGCACATCAACATGTGGAAGTCAGGAGCATAGCCTGCACTATGACTGTGATCTCTCCAAGGCCCACATGTTTACTTACTATATGTTTTTCTTTGCATGTGAATGGAGGTCTATATCGAATCTTAGAGTTTGAAAGAACAGTGAGGCTTCAAAGGCCCCATGCCTGGATCAACTTTCTTCCTGAATCAATCCACACAATCCAGACTATTGCTTGCCGCAAGCAGAGAGCAATAGCAATCAGACCTTGAAAAAGTTGGTTCCCCCCACCCCAGAGCATATTCTCAGAGTCCGCAGCTAGTCCGGTTGCTGTTTGGATGGCAATAAGGCATATTTGCACAAGGTATGAGCAAAATAGAGAGGCAAGTGTCATAAACAAACTTTATGCTATAGCAGAGGAAATATCTCATGAGTCATATTTGCTCTGAGTTTGGGATTACACTGTAAATATACTTTGACTAAGAATAATAAAAGTTTCACATTACAATATATTTCAGACAAACTAGACATGTTTCAAATGCTGTTCTACAACTTTTCATTCCTCAAACAATCTTTCACCTTGAATGATGGGCTTTAACTGAGCAATCCCTAATTAGATAAATTGATAGTAACACTAACATTAACCAGACCACCTTGCTAATTAGTGTTGGATAACATTTATTTTAGAATTCAATATGGACTTATTTATGTGTTGGTAGGTCTTCTCCATACAATCACTATCTTATTATATGTACATTTGCACATTCTCTTTCATTTTTTTAAGTAACATGAGTTTTATAACAATAGTTGACAGGCATTAACAAAAAGATTGATGTAAACATTAAAAATGTATTTGGTGGGTTGGTTCAATAGATCTTTGCTACATGAGATGGGGAGATGAATCGATTAGACACCTTAATGTAATAAATGAAAGGATACTATGCCTCAGTCAAGACATCAAAAGATGGAACATTTATTGAGAGGATTGATGGAAAAATTATCTGCCACATTGGAGCCTTCCACGGTGATACTGAGTGCTGCTGAAATTTCTATGTTTCAAATGTGCATTCAAATCAGAAAATGATGATAACAAGCCCATTGCAAGAACAGCTCAGTAAATTAATGAATAGGTTACACTTTCCATTTTCTTTAAGCGTATTTTCCCAGAAGCAGTACATTGGAAGCAATGCCTCTACATATGCAAATAAGTGTCTATAAATCTATAAATCTCTACTTTCTCCTGTATTTAGAAAGCACATGTTTGTTGTAGTAACTGAGTCAGAGTGGATGAACCACCACTTCTGAGAAAGTTTTAGATAATATTAGGAACCCTGAGGTGCAGTGGTTAAACTATGCTCAAGTCCTGGGGTTCAATCCCAGATAGCTGGCTCAAGGTTCACTCAGCCTTCCATCCTTCCAAGTTTGGCAAAATGAGTGCGCTGCATAACGAGTAGCCTGCATAATTACCGGTAATTATGTAAACCACCCAAAGAGTGCTTCAAGTGCTATGGGGCAGTATATAAGCAGCACACTTTGCTTTAAATTATTCATGCTGACATGAATAGGAGTAACTATTATTATTTTAAATCTTTTCTTATCCTCATTTTTAGCTCAAAATAATATTTTAATAATATATTATAATTGTCACTATAAATTATAATTGATTGGATAGCTCAGGGAGTTGGGCCCTTGGCTCCAGTTCAATAGATCTTTACTGCATGGAATGGGGAGATGGAATAATTAGACACATTAATGTAATCAATGAAAGGATACCAAGTCTCGATCAAATCATCAAAAGATTGGGCATTTCTTAAGAGTACACAGTAGGAGTTCAAATTCTCACTGTGCCTCCTAGAAGAAGAGCCAGCCTGTGTAGCCTTGGTAAACTATGAAGTCTCTGAGTACCCAGTAATACCCAGACAACCCTAGAAAGGTTTGCCATAAGTTGGCATCAACTTCAAGGCACATCATTATGATGTTATTGTAATTGTAACAATTATATTATTATTCATATTGGTCTGGCCTCACTTTCAGAATACAGTACAGTATGAAATTAGAGACTCACTGGGCAGAAGTGGATGGGTGGTCTGTGTCCCAGCAATTGAAAGTGACGTGAACTACTGATAGGAGCAGAAATCATGAAACTTTAGTTCCAGCTAGTTTTTCTTTCATTTGTAACCCGATTTTAGGATGTTGGACAGTAATAAATCTTTCAAGAAGAATATTTTTTTTTCTTCCACTATTTAAAAGATACAATTGTATTACCATCGTAGAACTAGTGGCTGAAGTGTGTATGCCATGCAATGGAGAATCACTCCTTGTTAAATCAACAAATGGGTCACTCATAAAAGTCCTTAGTTCATTTTTTTTTTTGCTCACATACAGCAATATTGGGTGTCAATTTCTTAGATGAAGCTACCTTTTTCCTTCTGTCATTTGGTTCCACCTTTACTACTCTGGCATCCTCTTTTGACTTCAGTTTCATTAGGAGGGGTGTGTGGAACATCATCACAGTCAGCTTTATCTACGTAGGTCTTTTGCCATAGGCAGAGGAGGACCCAGGAGATTTTGACCTACACGCAGCAATAATTTCTCAAGGGAAAGGCTGGCAATTCTGTTGTCAGTTTTGAGTGATATTAGTTTTTTGCACATCTTTATCTGCCTGAAGTAAAGGGTCTTCTTTCTTTCTTTGACCCAAGAAATCCTCTGAGGGAGATTGGACTTTCTCCTTCAATGATCAAATTACTAATCCTAACAGTTCTTTGATTTCCTTCACTAAATCTGATTGCAAGTGTAATATCACACGATAATGAGTTGCCCTTGTGCTTTGTGGATACAGACCTTTCAGTCGGAACAGATTTATGTGATGCAGGGTTTCTTCCATCAACTATATATGGCAGAAATAGCAATTACAACTTTCTAAAGCTTTTCCGTTCATTCAGGACACAGGACACAAGTCTTTGCTTGTGTGGTGTGATATTTATAGCCATATTTATAACATACCTACTATTCTGATTGTGTAGAGTACATCAGAAAAGCTACAGGATTTGACTTCCTTGGAAAATATTATGGCTAACCTGCTTGAGAAGTTCTTCATTTTCCTTCTCTTCAGTACTCTGCTCAGTATTCTTCTTCTTCAGATATTCCCAAGCGGCAAGACAGAAATAACAGGTAAGCATACTGAAGTAACTAGATACCAACACTGCAATGTAGTCAATTTCTAATAAAAATGTTTTTAAAATAAATATGTTTGCCTGATGTCTAATGATTGGAGCAATTAGATATCATTTGTATGTATATTTAGGGTTATGATTAATAAATAAAGCTGTTGAAAATAACGGAGGAATAATCTCAAAACTAGGGTAATCCCTTTGTCCAAAGTAGTCATTGGAAAAGAAAATGAACAATACAAAGTATACCATCTGGTAAATCTCCTGGGCCTCTAGAAGAGCACTTGTAGAAGTTATGCACTAAACAAGAACGATGGGAATGATCAGAGGATACCATATAAATTTTGCACACTTTGGAAAAATTTCTTTATTATATCAAAAACTCCACTATTTCCCATAATGGTGGAGGGACTGCAAGAGCAAAAAGGAACTTTTCTACACTTTGAGAATACTGTAATCTCTTTGTGAGGTAATGAATAACAAATTGTATGAAAAAACCTTGGGCTATTTTACAGAAGCCCTCACTGCTCTGGGAGACTACACAGGCTGCATTTGTTCCCAGACTTCCTCTGGACAAAAAAGGTGGGGTTGTGAGGTCTCAGAGCACCTGCTGAAGTCCTAGGCAATGGCTGTGCTCCTCCAGGTCTCCAGACAGAGCAACAAATCTGACAGCTGAGTTATTTGTCTGTGAGGTGTGTTTAAGGCTGAATGCCCAGCTCTAAACATTCGCAGCTGGTGCCAAAGCTTCCTGGCCCAGCCCAAAGATGCTGCCGGTGTCAGGAGAAGCCCCATCATTAGCTTGTGTGAGGCAGCTTTTTCAGGTAGCAGAGCACTAGGGTTGTGAGGTTTCCCCATAATGGTACAAATGCACCACTCCCCACCACTAGGGTCATTGCCCTCACCAGAGACCTTCTGTTATGCACAGAAGAAGAAAAAGCAGCTGGTGCTGGCACCTCCAGAAGAGCCAGCAGCTGAAGTGAGAACAGCACTGGCCACCACACATCTCCTGTAGTGTCTGGATGTGGGCTGTACATACAGGTAAGATGGGAAGGATGACAGGGAAATTCACTCTTTCCCACTATGCCTGGGCTATGGGGGGACCTCACAACCAAGGCATTATTGCAGGAGACAGTAACTCCACATAGAGTGAGAGCTCAGGAGGAAGCGAAGGAGGATTCAGGGATGAGAACAAAGACATTGGTAGTCCCAGACCCTGGCAGATCAGCCTGAAAAGTAGATGGAGGTGCTGGCAGTGGCAGAAAGCTGGCTTTCACAAGCAGGAGTGGAATGTGTCTGGCTTCTCCTCCTCAGCCAGCTGTGCCACTGTTTGGCAGTGACAGTGCCCCTCGCTCAGTGCTGTCCCTGTTGCCTTCTTTTCTTCTATCTTCCCAATTATCTTAAATTCAAGATGAGCCTAATGCTGCTGAAACCAGTGCCAACAACTGAGGGTTGCCCCATTTTTGGTGTCACACAGAGGGAGGCTGTTTCTGCACAGATGTGCATGCCATGGAGGGTTGTAGGGCTCCCCCCCTCCTTGCAATAAGTGTGGGGACCAATACTGCTCACCTCAATAGGTGAGAAAGCTTGCAGCCCTCACATGTGAGTCATGGTTGCTTCCTTCCCAACCTTGGGACATCAGAAGAAATGGGAAACAGTTTAGCATGATTTTCACAGCATTGTTTAAGGATTCCATTTTGAATTATGTCCAGAATCCAGCTGAAGAAGTACACCACTGTGTATGAAATTTATGCTGATGGAATTATGCTGGCAGAAGTAATAACATTCTGGCCATTGTTTTAATTTTATGTTACATGTTGCCCGTAATGTTTTCCTATAGAATAGTAACACGAAAAGCCTGAAAATAAACACAAAAATTACTGAAGGAAGGAAGGAAGAAATTCACAAGTTTACCTCCCAAATCCTCTAAATAAGACATTACCTTTCAATATAATTTTTAAAGCCAGGTTTTGAGTAGGATTAGCTAAAAAAGGCAGTAACAGCAGAGGCAGCTTGAACTCTGCCTGCCTGAACAAGACTTGACCTCAGCCCTGCCCAACCCATGCAGTTTGCCCTCTATTAGAATTAAGTAGACTTAAGCCATCATACTATTTTGTTCTGCTCCTCTCGCACAGTCACATATAGATGTGCTTGCAAAGTTTGATCATGAGGCTGGGAGTTCAGTATGAGAGGAACACAGATAGAGCCCTGCCCCTCCTTGTCCTCTGGTGAGGAGGCAGGCAAGAGAGGGCTGGTTAGAAGTAGCTTGAATCTGAACTGGGAGAATGCCCCATTTGCCTTAACAGACTAGTCTCTACTGACTGGGCATATCATCACCGCTCTCTCCTTCCTATTCAGCACCGCTTAAGCCATCCAACAACCTGGCACAGAAACAGTTTGCTAGAAGCACTAATACCCTGCAATTTTCATCATCCATAGTTTTCATGCCTGCAAAAACCAAATGTCCACAATACTACTGCCCAAATACACCTACCCACCCAAACCATGTGCCATCAAATTTTCCAAAGTCATAATTTTTCTTCCAGATCCTGAAGAAGATTGGCTGAAAAGGCAGCATGGCCGTAGAGACACCTTGAATTCCACCTGCTTGAACAAGACTTCCTCAAGGTCAGCATCTTGGCAACTAGACGATGTAGTTGTGAAGCAGCTCTTTGTGGAGGAGAGTCATAAGTTTATCTACTGCGAAGTGCCAAAAGTCGGTTGCTCCAACTGGAAAAAAATCCTCGTTTTCCTCACTCTCAACATGAGCAGGGATTCTTTGGAAATCAACCATAGCATGATCCACAGAACAAATATTATAAGGAGGTTGAATTCTTATCCTTCTGAAAAGCAAGCAGAACTTCTGAACACCTACACAAAAGTGATGTTCAGCAGACATCCTTTCGAAAGACTGGTTTCTGCTTATAGAGACAAGCTGCTGCACTCTGAGCCCTATTATAGTACCACAGTGGCAAATGAGATCAAGGCGTTCGCCAAGAAGGATCAAAATACCAATGAAAAAGTGACCTTCCAAGATTTTGTAAATTATATCCTATCAAGAAATCCCAAGGTTTTGGACATACACTGGAAGCCAATGCATTTGCTCTGTGATCCCTGTCACATTCAATATGACATTGTGGGGAAGTACGAAACACTGGCTCAAGATGCTGACCACATTCTAAGAAGAATTGGAGCCCCAAGGGGTCTGCAGTATTCAAACAGCAAGGTACACAGCACAGAGAAACGGACTGACAAGAATATCACCCTGAATTACCTCAGGGAACTAAATCAAGACCAAATGCAGAAGCTCAAAGACCTTTACCAGATAGATGCATCTTTATTTAGCTATTCTTTAACATTAGAGCCAGAAACACAGCATTAAGGTTCCATCATATTGCCTATGATGTTTGTTTCCATAAATTCAGGATAAAGTAGGTCTTGGCTGCTAGAGAAAGAGCAGTTCTGTGATGGTACCACATCTCTGAGATCCCCTAAAAAGGCTAACCTGGTGTCTTCATATTTATCATTTGGGCTGCATGATCTGATCTCTCTATTCAGCTATCAATGGATTTTCAGTACCTAATTGTTGTGCTTTGTTGTTTCACCTCCCTACAGATTATTTCCCTTTCCTTTCTATTCATAATTGCATTTTAAACATTGATGTTCAATACAGGAAAATATGGGATAGATTTTTTAAAGTTTTTGTTAGAATAAAAGAAAATATCTGAAATCTTGTTTGCTTATGTGGTCAAAGGAGGGCAATCACACAAGTATTTATCACCACAGCAGTTTTTTCTGTGTTCACGTAGCTGCACATTTGTTACTAAATGAACCACATGAGGTTGCAAACCAGTTGCAAAATGAACTACAAAGGACAATCCATCAGAGCGGAAGAAAAAGCTGTGGGTTGCCCTTGCGAGCATGGACTGTTAGCAGGATTTTGGCCTGTGTGTCCCTATTTCTGCAATACCTCAAAAATGTGACATCTTAAACTTGGCATACATATTACAAGGTTGGATGGCAGTCATCCTGTAGTTCTGAGTGAGCAGTACATCTCCATCTCTGTCTTTCCCACCCAACGTAAACCTACAATAATTGTTTCCATCTGTAAAAAAGGGGGTCACAAAGAGTCGGACACGACTTAACGACTAAACAACAATGACAATAAAAAAGAGATTAAGCCCCCACAAAGGCTAGTGAATTTGCCTGGCCAGCCATTGCCCTCTCCCCATCATCCTATTCTCCATCTTGACTGCAAAATTACTGAAGAAAGGAATTAGAGCTAAGGAATAAAGCTAATTTAGGAACCAATAAAACAAAGCAAAGGCTCATAAGGGTCAGCTATGGGTGCAATCAGACAGCCATTCGTCCTGCTGTTTGTTCCACTGTGAGTATGGGTAGAATAACTCTGTTTTGTTTTGTTTCCAGTGTATGTGATTGCTGGGATTGAACCAAAGTGAGCTTCTTGCTTTAATTTCCTAGCTAGTTTCAATATCCCAATATCATTAGTGGATTAAACAGACATCTTAACTATTTATTGATATGGGGAAATAGTGAAATTAAATAAGGAAATTAAAGACTTGTTTCCTCTGTACAAATATGAAGCTTTGAAATGCTGTGTATTGCACTCAGACCTTGGAACATTCATTTAAAGAATACATCTCCTAGAATCCTTCAGGCAGCAAAATCTCAGAGTGGTGATGCAAAAACTAACTAGTTCTATTTTAGGCAACATCATAGTGCCCACACATCTCTTACTGATACACACTTCCTTTTAAATTTCAAGAGCACCACCAGATGGTAGCTTCAGATGACTGCAGGATTAATGACCAGAAAGTCCTAGCACTCTAGTTCTTTTGCACTTCGGTTGTTTTGTACTCTTTGTTCTGTCATGTTTGAAAAATATCATTTTATTTAACCTCTTATGAGCACAGAAATCTTTCTTATCCCTGGAGCCGAGGCAAGTTCCTTTTCTGGGCTAGTTTCCAGAACTCCTCATCCATAATGGGATATCTTTTCCAAGTACTTCTATACCAAGAACCATCATGGGTCCATCTAGTCTAGTGATTGCCAACTTTGGGTAACCCAGGAGTTCTGGGACTGCAATTCCCAGAAGCCTTCACCACATAATGAGCCTCGTGGCGCAGTGGTTAAAACGCTGTACTGCAGCTAAAACTGTGCTCACGACCTGGGGTTCAAATCCCAGGTAGCCGGCTCAAGGTTGACTCAGCCTTCCATCCTTCCGAGGTCGGTAAAATGAGTACCCAGCTTGCTGGGGGGGCAATGTGTAGCCTGTATAATTAAAAATTGTAAACCGCCCGGAGAGTGCTTGTAGCGCTATGGGGCGGTATATAAGTCCAATAAATAAATAATAAATAAAATAAATAGTTGTGCTGGCCAAGGTTTGTGGGAGTTGAAGCCTAAGAACCCCCTGGGTTATCCAAGACTGGGAAGCACAGATCTGGCCCATTATTATTTATACGAGTACACTTGATTCAAACCCTGAAAATTGGTAAAGCAATGACATGATTATGCCTGAACTGATTAAAAAACATATTGAATGATGGGTTCTGGTAACTGCAGCTTTATTTACAGCTATTGACAAAACTGGGAAAATTCCTAAAGATTGGGGGACTGAGATCATAATCCCTATATGCAAAAGAGGTAATAAAGATCTACCCTCTAACAACAGGCCTATAACCTTCCTTAATATGATAAGTAAACTATATGCTAGACACCTTCAGTTGAAATTGAAGGATTGGATAGACTAAGAATCCCTTATGATAAAAGAAAATGCTGGATTCAGAGAGGCTCATTCGACCTTGGACCAAAGTATGATCCTGGAGCACTTAATTATGAAATATTACTCTAAAAATTCAGTGTATACGTAGCTTTTATTGACTTTAGAGCTGCTTTCGACTCTATTTCAATAAACATATTATTGGAAAAAAAATAACTAATATAAATATTGACAAACATTCACTAGTTTTGGTTCAAGCTTTGCATAATAATACATCAGTAAGAATTAGAGTTAATCCCCAAGGACATCTTACAGCACCAGTTAAAACTGAAAAAGGGGTTAAACAGGGCTGAATCTTGGTACCCTTATTTAATATCTATATAAATGATTTAGTGACAAATCTAAACAATTTGGACTTTTATCCAAAGTTGGCAAATAAACATACTGTATTTCCATTCTATTATAAACCGACAATGCAGTAATTCTCTCAAGAACCCCAAATGGATTAAAAAGAATGCTACGGGCTCTTGCTGAATTTTGTCAACAGAATCAATTAGAGGTAAACCATGATAAAACCAAGGTAATGATATTTGCTGAAAGACCTAAAAAGTATATTTGGAAAGTAAATGAGGTACTTATCAAGCAAGTACAATATTATAAATATCTGCGTCTGATATTCCAAGTAAATGGTAAGAGAAATGCGCATGTAAAACATGCGGTAGCCAACACCCAGAAAAGCATGAGAGCTTTAGAAAAAAATTTCTGGTCACAGAGGGAAAGTAATGTGACAGCTGCTATTTGACTTTAACGATAAAATCTTTAATACAGATGATCTATGGAGCCCCATATAGCATACCAGCTAACGTGACCGCTTTGGAAAGACAACAATCAAAAATTTTAAGAGCTATATTGCATTTTCCTACTAGTGCATCAAATGCAATCATAAGGCTGGAATCTGGGCTAGTAACTGTTGAGGCCAGGCTATGGATAGCTGCTATAACATATTGACTAAAACTGAATTATAGTACCTCAAGGTTGGTCCATCTGACATTGCAAGATTGCTTTGTCCCCTCTAGGCGGAAGACGCTGAAACATAAACCACTGTCAGTGGCTTTCCAGAATTTCTGGTAGAGTTTTCCCCCCTGCTCAACCTGGAGATGCTGGTGGTGACAAAATTTGTGCTCTACTGTGTTCTTACATGGCACACAAATCTACCTTACACATCACGAGCAACAGATGGTGTTACCAAATATGTATCAAGCTGCTACTATTATTTATTGATTTGACTTTTATACCACCCGTCAAGCTATCAAAGCCACTCTGAGTGGTTTACAACATTATAACATAATAAGCCCTAATTTAAGAACAGTAAACATAAAGGTAACAAAAAAAATTTAAAATTAAACACATACACAAAAAGCCCAACATAGAATTAACTAAAAATAATTTAAGATGGTTTAAAGGCAAGATGGTGGAACAGATAATATTAATACTTAACGAACTACTGTGTTACCATGTTATAAGCTCTGTGAAGGCCTGTCTGAAAAGCCATGTTTTCAATCATTGTTTAAAAATTCTTAGTGAAAGGGCCAGATGACTTTTGGGCAGGAGATTATTCCAGAGACGAGGAGCAACTGCCAAGAATGCCCAGGTTATGGTCTTCTCTTTCCAGGCCTCTCTCGGGGTCGATATTCTCAACTGCCCAGCCTAGGAAGATCATGTAGGACAGGCAGATCTCACTGGAAGGAGGTGTTCTGTCAGGTATCGTGGTCCCAAACCATTTAGGGATTTGTATGTAAGCATCATCACCTTGAAGCTGGCACGGAAAAGAACAGGGAACCAGTGCAAGTGGCCAGAATAGGGGAGATATGATGGCATTTCTTCACCCTATTGAATAATCTGGCCGTCACATTCTTTACCTGCTGACGTTTTCATAGCAGCCCCACGTAGAGAGCATTGCAGTAGAATCATAGAATCACAAGTTAGAAGAGACCACAGGGGCCATCAAGTCCAACCCCCTGCCATGCAGGAATTTCATCAAAGCACTCCTGACAGATGGCCATTCGGCCTCTGCTTAAAAACCTCCAAAGGAGGAGACGCAGAGGCAGCACCTTCCACTGCCGACCAGCTCTGACTGTCAGGGAGCTCTTCCTGAGATTCAGGTGGAATCTCTTTTCTTGTAGTTTGAAACCATTGCTCCTTGTCCTAGTGTGTCTGGAGCCGTGGAAAACAAAAATGTCCTTTCCTCGACATGACATCCCTTCAAATATTTAAACATGGCTATCATGTCCTTTCTTAACCTGTTTTTTTAAAAAGCTAAACATTCCCGGCTCTCTAAGCTGCTCCTGGTAGGACATGGCTACCAGACCTTTGGTCGCCCTCCTCTGGACACGTTCCAGGTTGTCAACATCCTTCTTGAATTGAGGTGCCCAGAACTGGACACAGTACTCCAGGTGAGGTCTGACCAAAGCAGAATAGAGTGGTACTATCACTTCCCTTAATCTAGACACTATAATCCTATTACCAACAGTTGCGTTGGCTTTCTTGGCAGCCGCATCACACTGCTGACTCATGTGTTAAGAGTGTATCTGCTATACTTTGAACATGTGTACATAAACATGTACTAGCAGAAACATTTTAATCTTATTCAAGAAAGAATGTAGCTCCCTGG